TCACTATAGTAGACACTTTAGACGTAAAGGGATACAACCATAGGGAAGATCAGAAGTTACACAATATGTGTTTTAAAGTTATTTCTTGACCTAGAGATTTGTTCCCCTAACTTACTGCATGTGCTTTATGTTGTATAAATACACCACTAAATCACTTTTTGTCTCATCTATCACGATAGATCTCATCATTCACACATAAAATATGAAACTAATTAAATGGATTATTGCCCGACATGTCTCTCACTACTGATTTAACTTATTTACTAATATTCACTATTATTAAACCTAAATATGTGACAATCATCCATTATTATCTTTTTACTCGTGATTATTTACGAAGTTTTACAAAGAGAATCAACTTAAGTTATTACAATCTTTATGGGATCAATAACTTTACTTTTACATCACTTGTTACTATTTGATTATGTATACTTGCACATATAAATAGCACGACACTAACCCCACATAAAACACCTCTAAAACAGGGTTTCTCGCCCTCATGAGCTTTCCCTAACACATAGAAACACCAAAGTCTCTCGCAACCCCTACCAGTGTAGGATTGCTACACATATGTACTTTTTTAACAAGTATAGTTTGGTTTGATCGGACTAGGTAAAAAAAACTGCGCGTGCGTGTGTGTGTGTATGTGTGGTGGGGGGGGGGGGGGGGGGGAGGGGGTGTTGGTCACTTTATTTCATTCTTATTGCTTGTGTGTATTTACTTATACTAATTGGAAGATTTATTAGTTTTGCTTTAGTATACTAATTTTAGTTTTCATTGTTCTTTGACTCACACATAAAAAGGTCTTGGTGTGGTCAAATACTATTTTAACTCACAAGAAGAGGCATCCTTTGTGGGGGGAAAGGGATTACGTTTACAATTTAGTATTATGGGTTCTAAAAAATCGAGATGGTGGATTAAGTTTACAATTGAATATGCAAGCAACCTTAACTCAACAAAAGCAGAGAATTAAGGCAAGCATGTGTAACACACATAAAAAATCGAGATGTTGGATAAGGTCAAGAGTCTCATTATCTTGTACCTATGAGATAAAATTTTAAGGAAAGTTACTAGGAAAAAGGTTATGATTTTGATGTGGGTCAAGCTCGAATCATTGTATATGACAAAGTATTTGGCTCAGGAGCTGTATCTGAAACAACAATTATACTCATTCAGAATGGTCGAGAACAAATTCATTATGGAGTAATTGTCATAATTTCACATTGTCATTGATGACTTGGAGAGTATTGAGGTGAATATTGATGATGGGGGCAATAATCTGCCCTTGTTAAGATCATAACCCCGCATCTTTTGAGCATTTTAAACATATCTTTATTTATGGTAATAAAAGTATCACTACCTTGGATGAAGTCCATACAACTGTAAGGTCCAAGGAGATTTCTTCAAAGATGAAATATTTGAAGGTTAATTATAGTGGTGAAGGCTTAAGTGTCTAAAGAGGATGAAATGATAGTATAGGAAAGTCCAAATCTGAAGGGTTTGATAAGTCAAGATTAAAATGTTTTATTTTTAATAAAACGATCCACTTCAATAAGAATTGTCTCGAGAGGGGAAATGGTGATTCTTTTCAAATTTCAGTTTTCTCATAAGAGGGTGGTTATGAGAGGGATAAAGTACTAGTGGTGTCGAGTTTGGAGACATATAATAGTTGTGGCATGGACTTGGGATTCTTTTATCACATATGTCAAAGGAAATAATACTTTTAGACTTTTGATTTTGAAAGAACATGGAGCCATTTGACTCAGTGATAATAAGGCTTCCAAAGTTTATGGTATTAATACAATTGGGCTTAAAATGTTTGATAACTTTGAATTCCTTTTATGAAATGTGAGGTATGTTCTCGAACTTAAGTAAAATTTGTTGCCCATAAACATGATTGATGATATAGAATACTACACTAAATTTGTACATGGGGTGTTGAAAAATACACATGATTCATTGATTGTGGTTAAACAGTCTAAAATATATAAGTTATGTATTTTAGATGATTCCACTATTATTGGTTATGCATCATTATCTATTAAAAACTTTCATAACAAAAAATATATATGAATTTTGATATTAGGGTGTGAAAGTGAAAAAACAATTTGCAATGGTGTGTAGTCTATTTTAGAGCAGTTTAATGAATTTTGCATTAAATAAAGTACAAAGATACATAGAATTGGTGTTAACAAAATTTAACATATTAATCTACCTGAATGTATAAAAATTTATTTTAGATAGTGTAATGTATATGTTGTTTAAAGTTGGGTTGTAAAAGAGTTTATGGAGTAAGACTTTTGCTACAACAGCTAATTTGATTAACAAATGTCCATTCACAGAAATATACTTCATGACACGTAGAAATTTTGAGTGAAAAATTAGTGAACTACTCTAATATGAAGGTCTTTATAATTTTGAAGGTTGCACATATTAGACAAGATAAACTTGATTCTAATGATGTGCAGTGTGTCTTTATTAGTTACTCTAAAGGTGTGAAGGGTTAAAAGTTGTAGAAGATGGAATTTATAGAATAAAAAATTATTGTGAGCAGGTATGTTACTTTCAGTGAGACTCATATGAAAATGAAGCGTAAACGTGAAAGGTTAAGAAATATTGTTGGAGAAAACATTTTTTTTTAGGTTCTTACTGGAAAGCTAGAAATGAGTAGGAGTTAAGGCAACTTTTTTATAAATTCTAGTAAGGAGAAATTTAGAATGGCCCGTGATCATCATTTGACTCGTTATAAAGTAATGAAGAAAATTGTATTACCTCAAAGATATGGTTGTATTGATGTTATTTGTTATGTTTTAAATGTAATTGAAGGGGTGAAAGACTCAAAACCAAATACCTTTATCGAGGCATAAAGGCAAAGGGAGTCAAATATGATTGGAGGTTGTGAATGATGAGATGCATTCACAAATGAAGAATCATTCTTACGAGCTTGTGAAGCTACCTAAGTAAAAAATGGTGATTGGATGCAAATGCATAGATTTAAGTCCTAAGTAAAAAATGGTGATTGGATGCAAATGCATAGATTTAAGTCCGACCATTGCTCATGCTTCATCAAGTTCGATGAATGATGATTCAAACTTTTGAATGAACAAGAAGAAAGTTGATAGCTAAATTGACATCGTTGTCGGCTTAAGTCAACATGGAGAATAATGAAAGTATATCTTAAAAACTAAATAACCAAATCTAGTATTTGTTTCAATTTTTCAACAATATCGCACCGAGCACGTTGGATCGTGGGTCGGACTCAGATATCTGGTCTGTCAGGATTCCAAGCCTTTTTATAAAAGCGGTTCTATGTTACTTTAGAGTATAAAATAATGTAGGAATAAGTTGTCAAATCTAAACTTAGAGAGAAGAAGATATTTTCAAGATTGAAGACTAAGAATTTGAAGATATCTAACAAGTTTGAAAAACAATTTTAAACATTTTAGATTTGTCTGAATTACACATCGAAAATTTGAGAGATTGAAAAACACTTGAGTAAAATTTATAAGATTTTCTTAATAATTTGAAAGACGATTTTCTTGTAAATTTTTTTTTGTAATATCTTATAATTACTTTTGAAGTGTAGTGAATTAAAGAGTTATTATTTTTAATCACTTTATTTCTTTCTTGTATAGATTTACTTACACTATTTAATGTACTAATTTTACTTAAAATTATTTATTTTATTTATTATTATTACTTTGTCACATATAACAAAAATCTTAGTGTGGACAAGTATTATTGTATTTTACAACATTGATCTGAAACAATGAGTCTGTCATTGAAGAAGTTTGAGTTACATGAAGTTATAGTGGTAACTTTGATTATTTTGAGAATAATGATAAGTTTATAAGAATCAAAAGGCAATGTAGATGAATCCATCACCTCCCTCTATTTTGCACCAATAAGTATCAAATCTTGAGATTTTCAATTTCATAAATTGAAAACGCTAGAATGTCAAATTTTCCATTAAAAAAGTACTGTATATATACAGAAAAAATCAAAGATTTGGCCAAGCAAAGTCCCTACTAGAGCCTACATTTTAACCAATAAAAAAATAATGAATATCATGGTCCAAAGATTGTTAGACATAAAGTACACAACCCATGAAATTACAAGGTCCACAACGTGCACATATTAGTGTATGTTTTTTTATAGATCACAAGTACAATAATTTTTTTTATCAAAACTATAATGTGACATTCAACGATAGAGCTTTCACAGAATGAAATTTAACCACGCAACCACGTTACAAACATACTAATATCATAGGACCACACAAATAAAATAACTAGTAAATAGTGCCACCACAATTAAACCATGAATTTTCATTTTCAAAATCATGCATCCAGATTTTCATACACACGTGTCGATTTCCTACACCGTCCAGCATACTCACAAAAATTAATTTAATTAAACTAATTATTATATATACATTAAGCAAGCAAAATCCAAATTGATATCCATAATAATTAATTTCCACATACTAATTAAAAATAACCTTCCTTGTATATGAACTACTTACTACTAAATAATAATAATAATAATAATTACATTAATGGGTTATAGCTTATCTATGAACAAGGTTTAGGATTTGATGAAAAATGCAAGCTATACTATTTATATATACTATAATTGGAAAGTCATATATATAAATATACTACTAACACTAATTCCACGACATGGTTCAAAATCGGAAGGAAAACTCTAACTCCATATTCTGATTCCAAACACATACGTTGTTGTTGTTGTTGTTCTTGTCTCTTCAGAATTAAAAGTTTCTTGTTCAGGTCATACAGATTTTCTCTAACTGATTCTGCTTGTCTTTATGACAGTCCTCTCTACTTCTTTCCATTCCAAAGTCCGGAATCTGCATGAAACCAAACCTTTGTTCAATGTTTGTAACAACATTAAATGTAACAGTATGTACTAGGTAACATTATTGAATGAGGATGGGTACCTGGATAATACTAAGAAAATTGAATCTACTAAAGAATGAATCAAGCATCTGAAGTTGTTTGATTCATCTGACATTTTGTTTCTTGTGCATCTCCGCCATCGGTAGCTGAATGATTCTCTTCATTTTTCGAACTCAATGTACCGGGGCTCATTTTCTGAATCTCCTCTTTTGGGTAGATGTAAATTTTGCGGACCATCGAGCAAAACTCCCTGAATTTGAATGAAATGATTATGCAAATAAAGTTATTCTTGAGAATATGTAAAAATTTGATACGAAAAGGCTAATCGGAGAATCATCAATGATTGATACTTACTGCCATGGATCATCGCCAACAAGCATCATATCACCCTCATTATCAGTGTAGACAACAAGCCAGTCTTTTTGTGGAGACACTAATTCGCCTCCGAATTCAAATAGCTGATCCAATTCAGTGACTAGTTCATCATAGTCGTTAAACTTTGTAAGATCAACCGACCTACCGAGCGCAATACCTTTCTTGTGAACCTTAAATGAGAAGCAATTTGTTAATTTTTTTTCAAGGCACTAAAATGTTGTCATATAAAATAAAACAGATACTTACTTTTGTGCAACTTCGAGCAGACCCGTTTTGAGATTTGAGTTGAACATCCTTAAAATGAGATTGAGGAGTTTGCAATAGATTCTCTTGGTCATCAACTACAGCTGGATTATCTGCCGCTTTTGAGCTCTTTGAATGCTCAGACTTCTGATCGTTTTCGAATGTATGATGTTGTTGTGAAGAAATTTGCATGGGACTAACTGTCTCACTTGTGCTATTTCTTTGTGATATTGAAGTTTCTTGCATAGTAGGGCTACTGAGAAGCGAGAAGCCAAAAAGCTTGCATTCGCCGTCTTTCTGTTTTGCAGACTCAGTTGTAGTTGCAGATATTTGCTTATGAGGAAGTTCTCTTGAACGAGGACTCTCGTATTGAGTTGGAGGTGGCGGCGGCATCAAAAAGTTTCCATGTGGATTTTCAACTTTATGTCCATGAAGCACAGAGTAGTCACCAAACGCATTGTATCTCATGTTCCCTTGAAGTTGGTAAGTTGAATTATCTCCGCCTTGTGGAGAACCTTTCATGTTAGAGTGCAAGAAATTGAGCGACAGACCAGGTTGCATTACAGGCCACTGACTAAGCATGTTATGTTTGCCATCTCGATCCAACAAACTTTTCCTTGCGTGATTGATCATGTGACCAGTTTGATCAACAAACAACTGTTGGGAAGAATGATCTCCTCTGACACTACCAAATCCTGATAGAAGATCCGAATATGTTGGCTCCTGCCTTGACATTGACATCCAATTCTCCGATCCATACCTTCTTGAAGTAGAAGCAGCATCAATCTTTTCTTCATCATTTGCAGGTGGCCACACAACGGACTTCTCCGCAGTATAAGACTCATTAGTCTCAGCCAAATTTCCTCTCAAGGTTGATGATTCTTGAACTTGCAAGACCCTTTGATAACTGCTAGAGGGCAAAGGGTCCATGCTTACTTTAGACGATGCTGCCAATCATTAAAAAAAACACATATCAGACTTCACATAAAACATTATGCAAAAACAGAACTTTTGGAAACATAAATATCTCACAATACCTTCGCGAGTAAGAACAGAAGAATCTGGAGACGATGGAACAATGTTAGCTCGAGGCCTTTTAGGCCTGGGCATTGGAAGAGGATTTAGAGCTGGAGGAGCAAGAGCAGGTTCAATTTTCCAAGGGGAAACTCTCTCGGGCCGAGGTATGTTAGATGTTTCATCCCATCTAACCTTGAGACATCTCCATTTAGATTTAGGCCATCTTTTTGTGTCAGAGTCTTCAATTCCAACGATGGTCCCCGTAAACCTACAAATAAACAAACCAAGACAAAATAAACAATTAGAAAAAGAAAGAAAACCCAGCAAGAAGATACAAGATTACAATGTAAACTGAGAAACATACAGAATCATGTTAACCATTCATACCTTTGCTCAGGAGCCTCTTCACCCTCAAACCTCATCTTAAACCGCATGCCTATGGTATAATTATTTTTGAGAGACTCCATGTACTGATCATATGGAACAATGAATTCCGCCGGACTGGTCCTGCAAACAGAAAAGGGCAACAATGGTGTATATAGCACTATAATGAGAAATCAATCCGAGAGAAGCATGGCATGTCACTTAGAACAGAACAGAACATAGTTTTATGAACAAGTTGCATACCGAGGTTTGTAATAGACAGTGAACATGGTCCCTGTCAACACGGCGTGCCAAGCAGTTGCAAGAACACCAAGATGCATGCTGTGGCTAGATATAACCGAGGACGGAACATTACCCTGCTGTCTCATTGCACGCCTAACCCCAACTCGAAGCTCTCCATTCTCCCCTCTGGAAATTCCAAAATAAGTCAAAAACACAGTAACAAAAACACTTGAACAAAAATAACATGTTCACACGGTTTAGCAAACCTTAGAAATATAAATGCATCTCCAGCAACCAGCCTCTTAGAACTGACAAAAACACTCCACCCACTTTGCAGCAAGTGTCTACGTGGTTGACCTGAAAACAATTCCATTCCCACATCAGATTCAAACAAAACAAAACCATAGAATTTAAGAGAGAGAAAAATCAAGAGATAAAAAACTCAAGACATTAAACGATGAACAAGTAATTACCGCGAAAGATGTGTCTAAAACGCCATTCATTTCCATGCAGATCTTTAGCCACCAACTCCTGTGTAGGTGGTTGCTTTGACATGTCCTATCAACAAACAAAAAACACCTCAAATTCAGCTATACAAAATAAAATGAAACAAAAGAAGAAACAACACAAAGAAAGAAAGAACCAAACCAGTGGAGGAAGACATTCATCAGCGTGACGTCTAAGAACAGAAAACCCACCATGGGTACTAGTATCAGAAGCTGTCAACGTTTTACAAAACGAATGAACATGAAACCTTGGAGGAGGAGCAGGAGGAGCTTCTTTCTCAACTGCATTCTCATCTTGCTATAACATCAACCAGATCCACAATCAAAAACAACACAAAAAAAAACATAAGAACATGTAATGTTTGTTATCCCAAACCAAAAAACTGAAGAGAATTAACAAATAAACTAACATTTGGCTGTGGAACCAAAGTCACTTGTGCAAACACCTCATCAGTATCTGGCTCCGCCTACAAAAAAAAATGTAAAAAAAAAAAGTTATTTAATACTAATTTACACAGTAAAAGAAACATAGTTAGAAAACCCAGGTATATATTTTATTTATTTCCATAAAAATATCTATAAAAATGAAAAAGCAGAGACAAGAAAAAAAGGAAGAAAAGTTACCTTCAACATAACGTTGATGACCCGACAGAGGATCTTAGGTCGGAGATCGTAAACCGGCATGTGTTGTTCCGACGCTTGATTCGTCGAGGCCTCCACCTAATAATGTATGTAACTACGTTAATTTCACCTTAATCATCATAATTTTCATAAAACATAACAACACATAAAAGGAAAAAAAAACCCAGATTCTGCAAATTTAGCAGCCAAACGAGTTAACAGTAACAAATCTGAGTTCAGACTCTGAAAGAACCCTTTAACCGTAACCAACCAACCAACCAACAAACCAGAACATGAACCAAACAATGGGTTAGTGTCGGAAAAAAAAGGTAAAATAATGAAGTTTAAGGTTCATGTCACCTGTTCAATATGTCCCTGAGGAAAATAAAACACAAGCTCTCCCTCTCTTGGAACCGTCACCAACGGTCCCGCACAAGCATGCCATAGTTCTCTGTAAAGTTGAACTTCCGCGTCTGAAAAACCAACAGCAAAAAAAACATTACAACTTCACAAATTTTGTTTCTGAGAAACAAAAAAACCGTCTCGTTGTTAACGTGTTGTTGTGACTGTTACCTTTTGAAGATGAAGATGAAGAGCCATTTTGACCATCTCCAACACCTTCGTTGCTTTCACCTTTTCCATTAACAGAATTCCCCTTCATAGAAACCTCTGATGACGCCATGTTATCTCTTCTCTCTCTTTCTTCCTCCAGATCTCTCATCCCAAACATGTAACCTTCATGAAAATTCTTGATCCAAAAACAGAGATTCTCAGAACCTCAAAACCTCGACACGAAAACGAAACAAACAAACACAAAACAACCACCAATTATCAACACAAGCCTTCAATTGACCCTTTCAACTACCCACTTTCTCTCTCTATCTCTTTATTTTATTTCTCTCTTATTTTTTATTTTTTTTAATATCTCTCTGAGATGATAAATAGTTGCAGAGGACCATAACCAGTGTCGGAAGCGAGGACTTTAACTAGAGTAGTCAAGATTTTAACCGCGGTCAAATTCTAACCGGAGATTCCCGGTTCACCTGCTTTTACAACCGGCTATAGCAAGTGAAGAAATTTTCCTGCTAGGGAAACGCAAACAACGCCATAAATAAAAGGCGGCTCGTTGGAAATATAAGGAGTAGAAATAAACGGAGTTAACAAACGTCGCATAACCATTGGACGGAACATTTAACGGCGTCTGTCTTAACGGTCGCAGGAAAGTTGTCCTGTTTTTATTGGGAAATGGCATTGTCGTGCTGTGGACGGGCAGTGTAATGGGGTACGGGTAAGAAGGGTGCATTTAACACCACCGGCGTAACTTAACCATGGTTGGTTTTCACTTTTTTATTTTTATTTTTATGCATTCAATTTAATTAATTAATTAATATACTAATAGTAAATAAATTTATATGGGCAGTTTTTTTTAGTTTAATTTTAATCCGGTTTGATGCGTTTGGGCAGTAGGGCACCACTGAAACGTGAACAATGAACAGAAGTTGTCGCCCCCATTTCCGTCTTTGGGATCTCTTTTCTTATCTTCTCATCAAACATTATTGCCCCTGTATTTGGGTATATTATCACAAGGAAAATGATTTTTCCAACATTCCGAATGGAATGTGAAAAATTATATATTAATTAAATTATAATGGAATCCATAATATATGCCATTAATTGCAAGTTTGGCTTATTTGGTTTTTTCAAACCATTTTAGTTTAATTTTTATTTCTCAACTCAAGTCTATTTTTAAATGTTAAATATTTTCATAGAAATAAAAGTTTAAAAGGTTTATGTGAGAATAATTGATAATAAAAAATATTGATTATTACTGGATTTTTGTGCAAACATAAAGTTTATTATATTTTTTATTCATCATAATATTATTTTATATTAAATCAATAAAAATTTATTTGGATTGTATATTGAATAAAAATTCATGTACATTTGATCTATTTATAATATTTGTAATTTATTTATATTTATAAGAGAAAATTTATTTTTTAATTTACTAAATAATTAATAAATTTAAATTGTATATTGAACTAAATATATTGATTATTCAATAAATTTAAAAAGTTAATCTTCTCTTATAAATAGGAGTTGAGTGAGTAACTTTTAATGATTGTATAAATAAAATGCGTAATTTAACCTCTTTATTTTGGCAAAGAACATTATTGACTTGAATAAAATCGAATAAGATTCCTTAAACAATATCTTTGTATCGAGTTTTATGAATAGAAGAAAAAAATGTATTGAAAGGAAAGGTTTCTTTAAAGATACCAGTCATATTCTTTAGTAGAAATTAATTAATTATCTAAGTTAATAGAAGTGTCCGCCAATAACATTGTTATAGTTTCGTTTGCAAATTAGAGTTATTGGTGTTTATTCTTGATGTGATTGCATTGAATAAACCTACAAAGTTAGCACTTCAACACGCAAATCAATTTGTGAATAAAGGGATTAGAATGAATTATGGATTGAATAATGTCTTTTGTGATACATGTGATGGTATTTATGCAGTTGGCGGATTTTGGGTATTTTTAGATTCAGCATATGGTTGGCCCCAAATAGTTGCCTCTAAGGCTCGGTGCATGAGAAGTCTTTCAAGGAGTTGGGTCGGGTACGTCCAATTGTGATCTAGTGTTAAGAGTTGGAAAGCGTTTAGAGACAAATTCATCAAAAGTCAATATAATCATTCAAACATTTTGCATGTTTTCTCATGCATGGCCCTAGGTTTATAACTTAGGGCATGGCACTTTCCCTAGGGTGCTCGAGTGCACTTAATTATCATTGTATTTTTTAGGCATAATATGGGTCGTTAATTTTCACCTTCCATTTACTTTCTTTTTGCATCGTTGATTTGTTTCATTCGCTTCATTATATAAAGATTGTTTAGACCTTTCAGACACATTTGGTCCCTGTCATAACTGAAGTTTTTATTCTTTGTGACTCCTTTCTTATTCTTCTCTTCTAATGTACTTGTGATTCATGCTTCTTGCCATATTTCCTTCTTGTATGGGTCTTTCGTCCTTGGTCCATCTTTACGGACATGTTATTCTTGCCTTTAGTAGTCTTTCTACTTCTCCTCTTATGCACGTACCATCCTATAACACTTTTCCTTACATATCCTATTTGCACTCCATGGCAACTCATAAAATTTTCCTAAGAATATAAATGAAGCTGGTGGGGAGATTCTCTAATATCAACGATTTACGAGAAGCCAAATGTCTCAAATACATAACTTTAGAAGTTAGCAGCCTCAATCCTAACTTCATTATGTTGAATGATAAATATGGATCTGGTTGGGGTTCAACAGAGAGTGATGACGGTCCTCTAAGTACATCTGAAGAAGATGGAGAGGTGATATCTAGTAATCTGGATTTCGGAGAAGTGGTTGTATGTCTTGCCTCTTCCATCAAGTCCTATATTAATCCAAATGCAACCAAGTTGCTCGAGATGAGTGACGAGCTCTCTTCTTTACCAAAAATTTTATGGTGGCACATAGTCGGGACCTTAAGGATATGGAACTCAGAGATCATCTTATTTTTAGGAGTAACAATGCAATTTATGGACGGTGTTACCTTTTGCATGATAATTGGGAAGAAATGGTTAAGCATATACGTGCATATTTATTGTCACCGGCAAATGTCGGCTTATACCATTGGGTGGATCCTGATTTGGTAGGAACAAAATTTTTCTTTGGTAGTATCGAGAATGTGGAGGAAGTTCAAATTAAGATGGGACATTCTTTTGATTGGCCAGTCTCACGCATTGAGGTTGGTAAGAGGGTATGCAACCATTTTGATATATATTTTGTCCCTTTCTATGAGTGTATTTTTACCCGACTGAGGTTTAAGTGACGTTGTAGTGGGTTTTAGGAGGAGTTGCTAAAGTGTTTGAACATCACTTCGTCCCAATTGCATATGTCGGTCTAGGCTTTTGTTATGAATGTTGGGGAAATGTGTTGTCCATTAACATCTTCTTCAATTTGTTTTAAATGTCTCATACTTTCAATGATTCCCATCGTGGGGGGGGGGGGGGGGGGGGGGGGGGGGGGGGGGAGGGGGGGAGGGGGATGATTTAATTTCTCCATGTGACTAAGATGTCTAACGTTTACATGGATAGTTGGAAAAATATAAAATATTTCTTTTTCTTGGTGACCCCTCGGACTCTGAATACACAGTTCATTTTATGTGAGATTCTTGACAGATAACCTATTTTGGTTGGCGCTTTCGACTCTTCATTTAACAAATGTAAAAGGAAGATCTATATGTATTGGGTCTGGAATCACTTTACTCGAGAGTCACATAAATATTCCATCTCCTTTGAGAAATTAACTCTAGCATAGGTGCCAGTAAAGGAAAATATAATGCCATTATAGAAGAACCTGGTTTCAAATAGGGTAAAGGTTCTAAAAATGTGGGGTCTTCTATGTAGCAGAGGTGGTTAATCAATACCTAGGTGGTCTTTGATGTTATTGCTGCTAAGGAGAAAAGGTGATTCTCTGGTGATGAGAGGAAATTTACTTTGTACTTGTTTTTTATATTTTTTGAATGTTCACTAGTTAGTTTGCTCTTTTGCATAGACCATGAAATCTATCAAGAGTCTTTTTGGCACGAATAAGGTTAGGACACTGAGTGTCATTCTCTAGTCCCCTCTGCCTCATTCAGTCCCTACTTCGACAGAGGCAGCGACCGACCAGCCTTTTGTTACTAATGTTGTTTACCAACCTTCTATTATTGTTGAAACCTTGCTCGTCTTTAAGAAATAGTCGGCTACCTCTGAATAGGGCGAAAGACGGAGCAAAAAGTCTAATGACAGAAAACCTGTTATGTCTAGTGACAATCACAACTAGTGTCTAGATCATAATCTCACAGAAGAAGGAGGGTCGGGCAATAGTTCTAAGTCCTTCAGCTCTGAGGCTGTTGGGATCACTCTTGATGTCTCCAAAGTGATTCCTCTCAAATTTCCCACAGTTATACCTCCTCACGTGCCTCGTATTTCTCAAGAGGCATAACCTTATTTCACTTAGTAGGATGCCACATACGTTTAAAGCCTCTATGATACTGAAAATTATAGTTGATGATGGAAACCACCTATCATATGTTATGCGGCGCTTCTCTGATTACTCTAGCAGCTGCTAGTTGGGGATAAATATTTGTTTCAATCACTTAGTTGATTTAGATGATCTCATATATGAGTTAAAATGATTAACCATCTCATTATTTTTACGACTATGATATCATTCTTAAAAATTAAGTGAATTTATTTCGCATGTATTGATAAAAATTAATGAGTTCTGAAGGTTAGATAATTTTATCTCATCTCTCGTATTAAAGACTAGAAGGTTATTTATGTTGAAGATGAAGATCAAATGTGTTCAAGCAGGTAACTGATATAGCTCTCTCATTAAATTCATTGATAATGTCTTATTTATGGAAGTTCGGGCGATATTGAACAACGTCATTTTCTTTTTATTGATCTGTCATTGGCGGAATGAGTACATGTTACATAAAAAGGGATTTCCCATGTAGAGTTTAATATGACATGTCCTCCGTAAGGTTCGATACCACCTCATGAGGCACAATAATACCTTGTAGAGCACAATGATACCATGTAGGCCAGAAAGATGCCATGTAAGACACATCAAACCCATATGGCACATCAATACCTTACATGGTGCAGTGGTATTATGTAAGATGCAGTGATACCCTGTAGGGCGTAATGATA